GTGTTAAACAAGAAAACTGAAAGCACTGTTTACTTTGCCATATGTACCATTCTGGAAGACCTTATGGAAATTCCAACGTGGGATATGGAAATTGTGGTATTAACTTTTGAGAATTATCTGCAGTAAGTGGGTAAACCCAGGCTGGGAAATGGCTTTTTAGGTAGTGATGGCTAGCACACACCTCGGAAAACTTCAATAAGATTACAGATGCCATAAATAGTTCAGTGAGACCACAACCACAGACCTTGTAAAGTTCAGGGAGACCACAACCACAGACCTCGTAAAATTCAGGGAGACCACAACCGCAGACTTTGTAAAATTCAGGGAGACCACAACCGCAGACTTTGTAAAATTCAGGGAGACCACAACCACAGACCTCGTAAAATTCAGGGAGACCACAACCGCAGGCCTTGTAAAGTTTAGGGAGACCACAACCACAGACTTCATAAAATTCAGGGAGACCACAACCGCAGGCCTTGTAAAGTTTAGGGAGACAACAACCACAGACCTCATAAAATCCAAAAATACCACAACCACAGACCTCATGAAAATCAGGGAGCCCATAACCACAGACCTTGCAAAGTTTAGGGAGACAACAACCACAGACATCATTAAAATCTGGGAGACCACAGCCACAGACCTTGTAAAGTTTAGGGAGACCACAACCGCAGACCTCATAAAATCCAAAAAGACCACAACCACAGACCTCATGAAAATCAGGAAGCCCATAACCACTGACCTTGCAAAGTTTAGGGAGACAACAATCACATACCTCTTGAAGTTCAGGGAGACCATAAGCACAGACCTTGCAAAGTTTAGGGAAACAACAATCACAGACCTCTTGAAGTTCAGGGAGACCATAAGCACAGACCTTGTAAAGTTCAAGGAGACAACAACAAGAGACCCCTTAAACAAGTTGAATTCTTTTACTATTAATTGTGGATAAATTTTACTCTTCTTTTCTTAAATGATGCAACTGGAAATTGTTATACAAGATGGATGGGTGGATGCAAAGCCATTTGTCACAATTTATCTGTGTGCTATTGTTGTATAGTAGTAAAACACATTTACAGTATAAAAAGAAATTATATAATGAATACATAAATATTCTCCAGTTTTCTCTCATATTGATCCTTTGACCTGGAATCCAAATTCCTAAAAACCAACAATTATAATCAAGGTCAAATTAGTTCCCTTGTTGAAATACCTAAGTGACCATTAAACACATGAAAAAGGCGTGTGGGGAGTGGAGGGGTGGCCATGATTGGATGATTTATTTGTATGGGGAGGAGCTCAGACGTTACACCAGACTAGGCCAAGGTGAAGGACACCATCTGTCATAGGTCGACATTTTTTAAACTTAGAGAATCACCAAAATGACAGTGGGCGGGATTATGGTGTATTGTCACTGTCCTATTGGTCAAACCCACTTTCCATTTGTTATGTTACAGGTTCCCACACCCCACCGACACACAGCCCAAATCCATCTTCAAAGTCTGCCTGTTGAGGTAAGGGGCCCGGAGCAGTAGTGCAGACAAGAGAAACGACAATACAGGCTTGGATTCAGTCCTCGAAGAACGCGGCTTCAAGGAGTCTGTCAGGGAGTCAGAGACGCGGCAAGGCCATCGGCACAAAGCTACCCAGCACAGACACTTGGTTTTAGGCAGCTAAAGCCCAGGTGAATATGGAAAAAGAACATTTACAAAAGACTGAAAAAGTCTGCTTCAGTTTTTCTGTGTCTCCTTCAAGGGTTTAGCAAAGCTGTCTGTCATAGATGTAGGTCAGTGATTTTAATTATTTTTTACAACCCTGCAGCATTTGATCTGGTATATCAGTCAATCTGTACACATATAATATGTGACAATGTCTGCTTTTCCCAAAGTGAATCATGTACTTTACGAATTAAAGAGACACGTTTCAGTTTTAGTTAGTTCACAACTGGAGCAGCAGAACTATTCAGCAATTTGTGGAGAACTCTGTGATTCACTATTATGTTTGAGGAGGTGTTTAATTCTTTTTGAGCAGGAGGCCGCTCATACTCTGAATGCTCCACACAGAATTTTACCTTTAGTTTCTAAAAACTACATGCTTGTGTCTAAAAATAGCAGGGGATACTCATCAGGAGATATTCTAGGCGTCTTTAATGCTTGTCAAGTTTCCCTTCATGTTATATAAGAAATACAGCTGGATGTAGTCTAGGGATAACAATGCATATTGATAAGAATGTGAGAGAACATCGCAGCCCCAAATCCAGAGTTCTCATCTCGTCTTTTTGAGGAAATATCACTACAGTTTTTCTTACTTCCGACAATTTTCAAAGGAGAAAAGTAGCTTTGTGTTCAGCCAGGTAATCCTGTGGCTCTAACTCAAGACAAGCTGGAACCCTGGGTCCAAAGGAATGGCTGACCTAAATTACCTGTAAAAGAGAAAAACAAAATGTGGCATGGAAGGGACAAGGCCATGGACGACAGATAGCCTGGACGTGGGATTTTACTTCGATATAACAGCGTACATGGATTTAACACAAGCTTCCCACCGTCAGGGATTCGCTTACCAGATGCTGCCCCTGACCAGTCGTCTCTCTCAGCTGTCACCGCCGGCTTTCTCTTCCGTAGGTCAGCATGGAGCATCTTCGCGCACATTGATGCGGCAGACGGAGGGTGAGAGGTCCCTCTGCTAATAAAAGCGAGAAAGGCCTTGAAGACAGATTTTCAGAAGTCACGCTTTATGAATGGAGTCGACGTGCGCAGCGACGTGCACTACATTGAATAAGGAGATAAAGGAAGGAATGCAGCTGTAATTGAGTCAGATGTGCGGCGATTCAAAGGAGGAGGAACATGAGAAAAAAACTGAAATGATTTGCTTAATCATCTTCTAGGAAATTAGGCACTGAACCTGGAAATAACAATTACAACGCAAAAGACATCTTCACTACTTCCATCGCCATTAGGGTATTTTTTACCACCATAGGATATTCAAAGTCAAAGTCAAAGTGAACTTTATTGTCATCTCAACCATATAAATTACACAGTGAGCTCAGGGTCTGCAGTATATTCAAATATTTTTTTGCTATTTATAGCTCAAATATCTTTTGAGCAGTAAAAGGTACAACACTAATAAACTCATCCATCCATCCATTAGTCGTCTAATTGCTTATCCTGGTCAGGACAGTGGGGGTAGTAACCCCATACTGCTTACAATTAATAGCTAACAACTAATAAATTAGCATCCTTAAGCATCACTCTGCCAGCATCTAACCTTCTTTCATTTCATTTTGGATACTATCGCAGTTATTTTTTCTTCTTTCAATACTGTTTGTTCTCAAGCTAACATCTCATCAGCACTTGTACAAAACTATTGACGGAGCTCAGGCTGCATGGTATCTACTGAACTAAATTAAATTTGAATCAGGGGGCTGATTGAAAAGTTGGGCCACAATTCACGGCACTCCTTGGGTCTTCGCAAGTCCAAAACATGATGTTGCTCAGATAAATCATTTGTTTGCTTATAATTTGTCCCCATCAGACTCCGGTTCACTACTGGGTGAGACGTGCCTCAGACGTCTGCTGTCGTAGTCAGACAGCGGTTAGACTAACAAAGGATGGCAGAAGGGAGCTGTGTTTCCATCCAGGTGCTGAAGAAGCCAGCAGACTCACCGGATGTGATACTGCCAGTTGGAGGAAAATAGCAACAAAATGGAGCAAAACTATGTTTTGAATGTAGCAGCATATTACTGTTGATTCTATTTTAGATGTAAAGGGGAAGCAGAGATTAGATTTCTATCAGCACATGGGGCTGATCAGGGTGTAATGGGTCCCTTTACGCAGTCTTCTGCATTTTATTTTATTAATTGACCTGCCAGTCAAACCCATTGGTTTCAAATGTCATCATGTAACTTTGAGGACATGACATTGCAAGCTGAGGGTTGCCAGGGAATGACAAATCATTCCGACGGTATGGCTGATGTCAGGCTTTGCCAAAATAATGCAGTTAGGGGGGCTTGAAGCCGCATGCGAGAGACTGCAGATACGGCTGAAGTATTACCGTGAATTTAAGCCTAAATTCCAAGAAGTAAAACATCTGACATGAGTGACCAGCAGTTGGTGGTTTCACACGGCCGGCGTTAGCCTTCACCAGGAAACATTCGGCAAGGATACAACAGGGTTCGAGCCCTTGAAATCAGACTGTTTTTAGCCACGTCATGCCAAACAACACCTCCCAAATGCTGCTGATAATGGGCTAGGATGCCAGGCAACGTGCGTGAAAACACAGATTTCCATGTCCATGTCTGACATGTCCACGCAAAATGCTGAAACAGCTGGAAATGTCCCAGTCAGCCGCTTGACTTTTGTTCTGATTACCAGTTTAGCCAACTTTATCTCTGGACTAATCGTAATGTTACAGCTGAGTAATACCTGCTGTACAGCTCTGCTTTTCCTCCCAGTTAATTATCTTGGTGGTACGGCCTTGATACAAGGGCATTGTGACACTAATCAGCGATGCTGCTTCAGGGTTTCAGTGTCCACATTCTCAGAAGACATCAAAAATCCAGCCCCCTCCCCACGCAGCACGAACTTCACAGATTTCCGTGTGTACCAGAAAGAGCAATGGTGCTGCCCTCTGCTGACACTTCTTAGAAAATGCAAATAAGCAAAGATACAATGAAACGTGGTGCAAACAAATGCATCTCAACAGGCATTTATAAGACATAGAGCTAATTGAGCATATTTCTAACATGTGCATTTTTTAATAATATCATTCCACTATTATAAGTGGGATTTTCTCTTGAATTAGTAAGTGTAATAAATGCTATACTCAGTTGTTAACTTGCAGTTATTGGCGTTTAAGGTTGATACAGCTACAGTATAATGGTGATTTGACCCTAAAACATCTCATTTGTGTTTTGAATCAATGTTGCAGCAAGTCCAAACACTTCTGTGACAATGGCTGCTTCCATGATCTGATTAAGATGAAGTAAAAACCAGGAGACAACAGACGGGTGAGGCTCTGCAGGTGATTATATTCACATGACCAAATATTGGTTCAGCGGGAGATGGGGGTATTTTGTGCCACCTACCCACCCACCAGCTGCCAGTTTCGTAGCCCGTGGAGGATAGGGCTGGAGCTAATTTCTGCTAAATACTAAAAGCCCTGCCCCTTCAAGGATAAATGATCATTTTATACCTTCAAGTCGTTTTCATCATCAGTAAAAGTATATACCATTTAGCACTGGATTATCCACATTACACTTTTATTGGCAAAAAGATCATAGAAATTTGAGCATTTCACACTCATTTGCCCTCTGTCTTTGGTTTCGGGCTGAAGAAGCAGGACATGGTCTTCATTCCGGTCCTGTCCACTTTGGCTAGAGATTTCTGCACAGCTGTCAACTTCTTTGGGGGCTGTTGTGTAAAAACACCCAACTTTACACCAGACCCCTTTTCTACAATATAGTTACATGCATACAATTTACTCACTTTTAATATTGTGATTTTTTATTAAATATACATATAGTTCTTTACTAGAAGGCCAAAATGCTTTTATCCATCCTCTGGCTAAAATATATTAAAAGACATTCATCCTTTGACAGAAGCAAGCCATAAATAAATATGCAATAGATCTAAAATTAAAACTGAATACATCTCAAAGCATATGATATATGAAGTTTCTCTTTAAAAGTTATCACATTTCATGTATTCTGCAGTTTTTCTCTCTTCATTAAGAAAACACTGAAAACTCACTTTTCTAGCAAAGTCTCTACCATTGAACTGGGTGTAGTCTTCCGCTGCCTCGACAGGCTTGTCAGACAGTTTCCGCTTCTGCAAAATACAAAATGTAGGTGCATCTCCATCGCCTGGGCGACCACAGGCCGAGTACAGCTAAAGTCACACACACAAACGCACTGTCCTGAACTGCAATTACATGCTATTTTAGTAGCTGGTGCAAATTTAATTTTTCCAAGAGTGAGAAAGCTCAGTAGGTAAGTGCTGAAGGTTTCAGGGGTATGTTTACCAACCAGTTACAAAATTTAACAGCAAACACATCACACGTTCCTTACTTACCTTATTTGGAGGTTCTACTTTTTTGGGACTTGAAACATCAGGTAACCTTGCCAAATAAAAGTGACCAAATTCTGAGTGTGAAAATTCTCTACAGCATTTTGTATGGGTCTCTCACAACAGGTAAGGACACATACTGTAAATGCTTCAGGAGGTCTCTGCTCAAGTCTTCACTCAGATACTCCGATATTAATCCATGGGCATACCGTAGATACTCTTCTGCTCAAGAAAGACAAGCAAGCATTAGTATAGATAAAATCACAGTGTCTGCTGCCAATTCTCATACATGCAGCAGCAAAATTATCATTTAAGGGCAAAAAGTATTTGCAAGCAACAAAAGACCTAAAGATGGTAAAATCCTAAAATTGTTTTTGGTTGCAATACAAAATGCGAGCAGGAGAAAAGCTTCATTGAATGAAAGAGTCTGCTAAACAAATCTAAAACAGAGAGGTATGCATACTATACCATCCGAAACATCCGATTCCTTCTTCACTCTGATGTAGGTTGTGGATTTCACGCCCCCACCAACTGAAATGTTACTGTTCTTAAGAACCTTCACAGTCTTATCAACCTGAGGGAAAGTAATTTGAGCTTTAAAAACACATAAAATCCTTTAAACAGAACAAACTATAATAAAAACACGCATACCTTTTTCTTTAACCACTCCATTGTCTTCTCCTGGCTGTATCTGTGGAACTTCTGATTTCCAACTTCTAAAACACAACGATGTGAGGTAGCACATTACTGAAGCAGCTGACATTGCTAGTGTTGCAGCTCGAAACATTCTTCAGACATATTAGCTTGTTTTATTCTCGTATTATTTTTCTTGTGAAATCTCCAAAGATGTAACACTGCGTGAAAGTAGGCCAGCCCACCTTTCTCCTCAGCAATATGGGCGAGTGAGGCATGTTCCCCCAAACAATTCAACAGCCTGGTGCAGGCTGGGAAATCTTCATCCATGACCATTTGCTGCACAGGTTGAAATTTTCCCTGCAGGATAAAAGTAAAAATAATATAGTACCAATAGTATAGTACTGTTTGAACAATACAGTCCAAAGCATTGACTGACTTAGCTTACTAAACAGTACACCACTGCTATTCAGGGAGCACCAGCTGTACTGATCATCTGCCAAATAGATGAATGTAAATATAGTAATATAAAAATAATGCTTTAACTCACCTCTTTTTCTGCTTTTATCAGGTAGGGCAATACAAGGTAGAGTGGATCCACTGGAGTGACATACAAAAGTCTTCCATCTATAGAAGTCATAGATGTCAATATAGATTTCATTGAAATTCTATAAAAACCGAAATCACTGCCATTTTCCCTCCGTGTTGTTTTTTGAACGTGCTACTGAAAGTCTGTAAAATATAAACGCTGACTGAGCCTCCTGCACAAACAGATGTGCCAAGTGGCCGTGAACGACATGTAACAGGGGTCAGAATGAAAACAGTTTGGCTGATTGTGAAAGCACATACTAAATAACTTTATGGTCTAGCAATGACATATAAACAGCGATTAAAAGTTTGCTTTCTATATATATCCCAAATGAAATATTAATAGGATTGAAACAATTGTCTTTTTATCATCTGCGCATTCTGTGTTTGTCTTTTTTTTAATAAGTATAACAGTCACACTACAATCCAGGTTTTTTTTCTTTTTCCTTTTTTTAATATCTGGACCTTTAATAATAATAATAATAATAATTATTATTATATAATTATTATATATAAATATATAAATAATTTCTAAAAAGATGAGTTTTTAGGTTTTGTTTAAAAGCATGTCGACTGTGGGGCTCTCAGGTATATATGGACTAACTGTTCCTTAGAAAAGAACATGATAATATAAACACCATAAATCTAAACTATGCATAAGTAGGTAGGAAGCAGCTGAACTTGGAGGAGAAAGTGAGTGCGGTTTAGCCACCTCTGTGCACTGTCTGGCCGATGAACCAGGAGTGGTGATCTTCCTTAAAGGCCTTCATCTCAAAGACACGGGTGTCACCACCGGCAAACATATAGAGTGATACCAGACCTGGAGAGACACACACAAAGCATGGGACTGAACGAAACGTGTTTAGACAAAACCTGTCATTTATACATATCACCACCTCGAGGTTATATTTGTGATAACTATCATATGCAAGTTAAAATGAAACTTTGACAGTTTTCATTACAGAGACAATTGTGGGGGTCAACCGTCACTTTGACGTACATGCGTTCATAATTTTGGTGGCTTCTTGATGTGACTGAAAACACTGACTGCAGCTTTACCTGTAGAAGGATTTTTTAACCGGACTATGACTGGGTCTCTGCTATCCTTCTTTGATGTACTGATTGCAGAGTCTGCAAACAGATAGAGATCACAACAAAATTATATTTATTAAAATCTTTTATATCTACAAGACAGTTGTATCTTGTCATGGTGATTCATGTACAGTGTAAGATACTGTACAAGGTACCTTTGGTCAAAGCAGTTTCCACTTTATCACGTAATTACTTAAATTGAGCTGTATTTTGTGTTACTATATGCATCTTGATGTTAACCTCACAAATGCACAGATATACGTATAGATGTATTCTACATACTCCAACACTGGATTTCTATGGATATTAAGTTTCATATTTTGGTCTAAAAAACTCTACTTTCCGATATTCCTGAGGTTAAAATACATATTGTACTTTACGGCAAAAATATCGCTTGCACTAGTTTTTGCTGTACTGCACTGGTAAGAAACGTCCATGACAGTATTGTTTTAAAGTTTGTTAAGGTCAGCGTAACAATTGTCAGTTATCAGATCAATTATTAGCAGGTACTAAAGCAACTTGAACCGAAAGTGAAAGCGGAATAATTACCTGCAGAAATAACAACCCATGTGTCAGTCCCTGTGCTCGGAGAACGCTTCTTTTTTGTGGCCATACTGGACAATCCCGTTTCGTTTACACGCAACCTTTACTGCAATTTAATTACAATAATCGCAATTTTGCTGTTGGCGTGCAACTCCACTCCTAATTCACTTTCGGTGCAGATAGCGGGCTGTTCTCTTGTCTGCGGAAAGCAAAAAAAAATGGCGGCAAAAAAGAGTCATTCCATTTCGAAAAACATTTTCTATACACTTATGACAAATGTATCATTTGGTATTTTTATAATCTAAAACGACTGAATTAAATGCATGTTTTAATATGTACATGAATGTTTCCGTTTTTGGTCATGATTACATTTTAATCTGTTTTTTTTAACCCTTCCAATGGATTGTCCCATGTCGTCATCTTTCAGCGGCGAAAGAGTTTGGAATGATGTATTGTAGTTCATGAACTCCGCTGTGGGAGATAAGGTGACTGATGCAGTTTGACTGTAAAACTTTTTTACTTTTAATTTTACTTATAACACGTGCACTATGGTATAAGTTTTGGGTTTTTTTTGTTGCTGAAAAATCGCAGAAGCTCAAACAGGAGGCGTAGGCCAAAAACAATACTGAAAATTATCACAGAAAATCATATAATATCTAGATCTTATCGATATTAGGGATAGCCTACATAATATTTGTTAGTATAAGTCTATACTGTATAATTAATATTTCAAGTTTTGGCTTAGGTACGCAGCACATCTTTGTCTCGGCAACCAGCCTCACTCACGTTGTAACCTATAATTATTGGAGGTGCCCAAATATTATTCGCGAATTTTTACATTCATTTTTCGGGAACGTGGACATGTAGCTTTAACTAAATTAATCAAGTCAGCAGAAGTGCTATAATTTAACACAAATTATATAAGACACCAGGGGCCTGTACTATACGAAGCGGGGTTACTGGCTTATCGGGGTAACTGTAGTCTGGGAAAAATGCAAGTGAACGAATATGAAGTCCATTTAAACTGTGGTACCTTAAATCCAATAAGTTACCCCGATAAGTAAGTAACCCCGCTTCGTAGTACAGGCCACAGGTTTAATAGCACCAAATTCGTGGATGCTACTTTCTATTTTGCATTAACGTACTGCAATAACAAATGCGGTTTTTAAAATAATTGTGTTGAAATTGCACGACAAAACACTGTTTGGTTATTTCCACATACAAAAGTATGACATCTGCACAGTAAGGGTTTGTGTTGTCTTAGACCTAATCAACATAGGCCTGCATAATTACTTAAATACATTTTTTTATTATTATTTACATGATCGAAACTTGTAATGGGCATTACATGCAAATTGTTTGTTCTTTATCTGTGGACTCATCATTTGTAGTTTGCCCTGCATTATACATTACATTCTGTTACTGTTCCATTTTCACTACGTCAAAACCGGTGCTTTATTGTCGCCATTATTATGTGTTTCCGTATAACGTCACTAGGGGGCAGCCTAGAACAAGTAATGCTCCTAAAGTGGCCCCCGCTAATTTAGGTTTGACGGAGTGGTAGAAATGGCGGGCTGGTAGGATTTTAAATGCGGGTCCTAAATCACGATTTACAATAGGCGCGGTACAAGTGGGGTTTTCCCGATCGAGTACGGTGCCTTGTATTTGAGTCATTGTAGTTGTCAAGTTATCAAAATGAATTATGACTGAGGTTGCTTTAGATTCGTCTACTTATATTATTTGTAAATGGGCTAAGAATGGCTTTCTGAAAATAATGGAACAAACTAAGAGTGAAAATATTTTCGATGCAACTTTTAATTGGTTGTTTTAACCATCATAGTCATTCTTTGCTGTGGGTAAACTTTGCGTAAACGTAGTCCATGTGTAAATTGTTCGTCCATCCAGTCATCCGTTTTCCACCCGTTTACCCTGGTCAATATCTCGGCTGCAACTTGTTCATTCTCAAGTCATTTGTGCGATTTTTTTTTCAACAGCTCAGTCGAAGAAAGCTGTTAATAAAGAACAGGGGAAGAAGAATAGACAATTTAGCCAAGATTTCAGTTTAAAGTAGCCTATCTGATTTTATATGCCAGTTCATTCCATAATCAGACGTAATTCAAAGTACTGATATGTATTACTGCCACAAACATCTGATTAGTTGTACGATCGAAATAAAGGCCATGACAGTGATTTATTAAAACTTTGTGAGGTGTTCAGCGTTAATTTGTGAATATAGAATGATTTTTGTTTAGACCCAATTTTATTTTATTTTCATTATTAATGGACTCTATTTCAAGTTTCAGAACGTTTTTTATTTTAGGCAGATGTTGGTTAGCAACCGTCCGTATGCACTTATTTTGAGCACCATTAAGTGACGATCCGTATGCACTGTGCATATTGTGAATACCAAGATAATTATATAGTTAAATAAATAAAAGTAACATAATTAGTGGAAAAGCCTGCTTAGCAATCAAATTTAAAACGAGCTTCTTTGACAAACGAATATGATTAAAACGAGAGAAGAAAAAAATGAATCCCGTAACATCACTACATTTCTGATTTCCTAAATTACTTTTGTCGTTATAAAAGGGACGACGGTGTGTGGTGCGGTTTTTGGAGTCTGCTTTGCACTTATTTAAACAGGTATTAGGCTACATGAATACATATGTAGCGTTAAAAAAAGGAAAACTATTATAGAGAATTTTAAAATTAAATTTAAGAAAATTTAGATTCTTAATGCTTAAATTCACCAGGTCAGTTAAAATAACAATAAATAAATACATTTTTAAAAATGAAGAATAATGCTGATAATTGGCTACAGAGCCGACCACAATCCCAGATGTCTTGTCTGGTGGGAGAGGGGGGGTTAGTCACATTGTCTCACACCCTTTGCCCTTGAAGCCAGACGTATGAGTCAGGGCCCCGTTTCTATATGCATTTCTGGGAGGCAGGGTCCGAGAGTGTCATTCAGGGGTGGGGGGGCTCTGCCTGAAGATATTAGCCCAAATCTGTCTTTTTTCCATTCGTTTATATGATCTTGCTCCAGACATCACCAGGGAGTTCCTAAGATGACTCGCTGGTGTGGCCAGACTAGATCCTCTGCTATCGTGGTAAATAAGTTCAGCCCCACATCACGGAGATTTTCCATATGAGAGTGGCCAGGGTCCAGGAACACCCAGCACGTTCCTGCACTCGCAATGTCGGATTTCGAGGGACTCCCTTTTCATTTCAGTAGACTGGAGAAGCTTCAACATACTGACTCTCACACAGGGGTCTCCCAGATGGATTCAGGCTGCGGTGTGTGATTCATTGTTAGGTCTGTCTGAGAGTCAATCACCCGCATCATGTTCTGCACATCAAGATCTGCTCACTTCACACAATTTTGTGTTTGAGGTTAATTGTGATGCCAGTGCTTTTGCCCATAAGGGTTGTTAGGGCGACTTGAAAGTCTAAACTGCAGTGGTACCCTATACCATTACACATGCGGATATGTCATCTATGTACTACAAAATGTACAGTGTTGGGTTTTCAGTCTTGCTCATTGCTTAATAGTACTTCAAGGAATATGTAGACTCTGACCGGGTAGCAGTCGAGTAAGCTTTCTATAATAGGCACCAGTGGATGTTCCTTTGGGAGCCCCCCCCCCCTTCAATTCCGGATACACATAAGCCTCTGACCCTTACGGTTACGTGTCACAGGTGGACCATGTACGTGATATCCTTATTGTACGCAATATGAAGTTTTATACTATTGTTTGATTACAATCCCAGGATTTGTTCATGTGAAGTCTGCATGTTCACGTGGATTTCCAAAACATATGGGCTGATGAACGGCCGTCCCTGACTTGCCCATACTGTGTGAATGGATGTGTGCCCTGCGATGGCCTGGCATCCCATGCCCACCTGGGACATTCTCCAAGCTCACTGTGACCCGACCCAGTTCTGGATTATGGCAAACGGAAGGATGGATATACACTGAGGTGTGGAATGTAATTGAAAAAGAGTCACCAGCCGTCGGGGACTGTTTGTGTATTTCTTAATCGTATAGCAGGGTTCTTTTATGTATTACCAGCTTTTTTTCTGAAAAAAAATCAGGTTTTAACATAGAGGAATGAATGTACTATTTTGAAGTTGTACAGGCAGCTGGTCTGTGGCTCATTTGGCATCGTTCCTGCTAACTGAGATGTTTCTCCTGACGAAGCCTTGGTCAGCGTTCTTCTTATCTGGTCATGCCACCATGACAGCCTGGGCAGGAAGAGAAGTAGACAGTGTGACTAAGGGGAAGCTGGATCTAGAGACGAGGAGTTATCTCAGTGTAACGGGTTCATATGGGACTAGATAGGGGTGACACTGGTGACACTGGTCACTCAGTCATTTCCTTGGAGTAACTACTTTATGGTTGTTCACACTCCATCATGGTGTCAAGGAAAACTGTCTCTTGTGACAATTCTGTTATTAATCATATGTTCTTCAATTATTTTTTAAGCAATGTTTAGATTTTTTTTAGAACAATATGTTGAGGTTTCACTGCTTCTTGCTGACAAGCCCACCATGTTATTTACATAACACAACGGGAATTGCATTAAGATTAACTTCTGGTCAGGCAAACCTCAAACCTTTGTTCTGTCCTCTAACGATGATTTTCTAATATGGCTGATTAAAAACATGGTGCCTAAGTTCTGGTCATTCCTAAGGACACTTAGGGCACGTCGTCGCTCCACTGATTACTACTGTGACATGTGATGCCACATTTGCACTGTCCTACTCCTGCTGACTTAGCTAGGTGATGCTGCGAGTGAAGCCCACTGGCCCCAGCCCAGCAACGGGACACAGAAGCCAACATATTAATTAATAAATGACACACTATGATTCCATTTTAGAACCTGCATTGGAGCTATGAATTGCGGGAAAAAACAGAGAGTTAGAGTACCCCGGGACCTTTACAAAAAAAGAGTGGGATCTAGGAATTGTTGACTCAATGTGTGTGATGTGAAATTGTGTGTAAGTCTTTTCAACCTGTCATTGATAGAGAAGGATGGTTAGATAGTTACAATGAAAAGAGCAGTAAACTACACAGTGTTGTATGAAGTGGCAAATACACTGTACAACGTATCAAAGTAGCATTTTGGTACATGACTGCATTCCTACATCTCACTTCTCTCTTGCTCTGGTGTTGTGAAGGGTGATGTCATGGTTCAGATGTCAAGGTCACCTTGTGGTCGTCATGGTGTCACACACA